AAGGAGGAACAATCTCCTCCTGTACCAGTCAGATCTGATTTGACAGTATACACACACACACACAAAAAAAATAATAATAAAAAAAGATGCAATCTTCACCATGGATGTACAGTTAAAAAAAATTATAATAATAGGTCTATTTTTTATTTTTATTTTATTCTACCATATATAATATGATCACTGGAACTGATGTCCTTAAAACTATTTAAAATTATAAAAGTTTTATGTTACATAAAAATATTATGTCTTATGTATGTAAAAACATACAAGAAAGTTCATAAGCTATCAAAAGTTAAGAATCCATGAGTAGAAAAGTTTGAAAACCACTAACTCAAGGATTGGGGTCAAGTATTATGCTTTATGATCTAGAAGGAACCTTATCATCTGATTCATCTCAGTTCACAGAAGAAGAGAAAGGACTAAGGAGTGCTGTATGAAGAGTTACTTTTCCCAGTGTCACACAGCTGGTCTCAGATATCCAGGTGTCCTTCCTTGCTCATTCCTTTCACTACTTAAAGTAGCCTCCACTGTGCTCTAAAATTCCATCACCAGTTATGAAGCAGACAGACAAAAAGTTCTTTTAAAAGTTATCAGGAATACTTCGATAGGTTGCTCTCCAGTCTGTTGCTTCAGCCTGGTGGCCAGACTGGGAGGCCAGCCAGGGCTAATTTGAGGCCCTCAAGTGATTGAATGGAAGACAGAACAAAGGTTTTAGTAGACTCCAGACTAGGAGTATTCCTCCTAGGTTCTCACTTTGCTCATCCTCAGCTTGCGAGTATACTTGATCTTTAGAGTCATCAGGGCCCCCACCATCTTGCACAGAACTCCCTCCTCAAGAAATTTTTATTTGCGAGCTCTAGGGGCCTAGTGGCAAGAAGCTGCACTGCAATCCCAGACGTGTGCGGTTCGAATCCACCAGATGCTTTGCTGGAGAAGGAGGGACAATCTCCTTCTGTACCAGTCAGATCTGATTTGATGGAACACACACACTCACACAAAAATAAATAAAAATTTTTATTGTTGACCTTCATAAATGTACCAAAAATGATGCCCCTGAAATTATAATGTCTTGTGCATTGTACAACCACGATTACTACAGCAGCTCTGGGGCTAAACCAATTCTGTGATCTCCTCAGACCAGATGGGATCTGGAGCAGGACCCCACACTGTCGTCTCAGTTTCATAAGTTGGATGTGATATCATGTACAACAGCCCCACTAAATCCTGGCTCTTGTGCTCTGAGCCTCAGGAGAAAGGACCAGGACCACACTGATAATAAAGCAGATAGAGATTTTTTTAAAAAATATGACTCCCAAGATTTGGTTAGTTTTCTTTTTTATGACCCCTGATTTCTTTCAGATTAAACACAATAAAGGGTAGGAGAGGGAGCCTTTGGAGAATTGAATATTCACAGGCAAACCAACCAGGCTATGAACAAGGACAGCTCGGAACAGTAGGCCTAGCTCAGACATAAACCTGAGCATAGTTAGAGCAGCGGACACAGACCTAATAGGAAAGGACAAAGGCCCCTAGAGAACACACTTCCACCACCCCCAGCCATGACCCTGCTGACGTGACAGCTCTCCACCCTGGCCCCTTACTGCAACACCCCCCCTGCCCTGCCTGCCCCCCTCCCCTGCCCTGCCTGCCAGCTGCCAACAGCGCTCTGTTCTGTGTCTGCCACACCTGTTACTGTCAGTCCTTGTCTAGGGGGGAGCCCCATCAGCCCCTCCTCAGCTGTCTAGCAGAGCAAGCAGTTAGTGGGGAGGGGAGGGAACATGGAGCGGGGGCCGGTGGTAGGGTCAGGGGTGGGGGCCCGAATCCGAGCACTCCTGGGCTGCCTGTTGAAGGTGCTGCTCTGGCTGGCCTCTGCCTTGCTGTACTTTGGAAGTGAACAGGCTGCCCACCTCCTGGGTAGCCCCTGCTTACGGCGCCTCTACCACGCCTGGCTAGCAGCAGTGGTCATCTTTGGGCCCCTTCTCCAGTTCCATGTCAACCCTCGGACTATCTTCGCCAGCCACGGCAACTTCTTCAACATGTGAGTCCACTCAAGGCCATGGAGCCGGTTCCCTGCACTCTGGGATCTTTGTTCCCTTCTCCAGTTTTCTGTCCTCCTGCCAGTCTGGACACTAAAAATAGGCCAAGAGGTTGAAGGGAAGATTGGGGGCAGGGAAGGGGAAGAGAACTGTAAGGGGGAAGGGGAATGAGAGCAGGAGCATGATTGGAGAGGAAATAAGGATCTTAGAAGCTTAAGTGGTTCACAAAGGAGAGATGACAGAGTTTAAATGGGTGGGAGTTAGGGAGGACATAGGGAGCAGAACTAACGATGATGGGACACCAGTTTATAGGATGAAAGAGCAGAGATGGGAACGCAGACCACATTGGGGAGATAGGGCTGGGGCATCTCATTAGTCTCCCTTCTCTACCTACAGAAAGTTTGTGAATTCAGCGTGGGGCTGGACCTGCACCTTCCTTGGGGGCTTTGTGTTGCTGGTAGTGTTCCTGGCCACACGGCGAGTAGCAGTGACTGCCCGGCACCTGAGTCGGCTAGTGGTGGGGGCAGCTGTGTGGCGAGGGGCTGGCAGGGCCTTCCTGCTCATCGAGGACCTGACAGGCTCCTGCTTTGAGCCTCTGCCCCAGGGACTGTTGCTCCATGAGCTGCCTGACCGCCGTAGCTGCCTGGCAGCAGGCCACCAGTGGCGAGGCTACACTGTCTCCTCCCACACCTTCCTACTCACCTTCTGCTGCCTGCTTATGGCTGAAGAAGCAGCAGTATTTGCCAAGTATCTGGCCCACGGGCTGCCTGCTGGCACCCCCTTGCGTCTCGTCTTCCTGCTCAATGTGCTGCTGCTGGGGCTCTGGAACTTCTTGCTGCTCTGTACTGTCATCTACTTCCACCAGTATACTCACAAAGTGGTAGGTGCCGCAGTAGGCACTTTCGCCTGGTACCTTACCTATGGCAGCTGGTATCACCAGCCCTGGTCCCCAGGGAGCCCAGGCCATGGGCTCTTTCCTCGACCCCGCTCCAGCCGCAAACATAACTGAAGAAATAAAGGCACATCAGGCCTGGCTCTGGCTCATCTTATCATTTGGCTGGGGCCTGGAGAGGATGGGAAGGAGAAGAAGAAGGGCTGGTAGTCACAAATTCTCAACTGTTCCTTATCATTGACCTTGAATTTCCTGTTTCCTCCCCTATGCTTGACCTCCACCCCTATACCACCCATTATCGTTTCACCCTTCTAAAATCCATTGCTGTAAAGTCTATGCCTACTCATGGTGACACTTAACAGTTTGAACTGCCAACCATTTGGTTACCAGCTACACCACCAGGGTTCCTGACTTTGTCTCCTACTCTACAAACACCATGCTTTCTAGGCCTGTGCTGGCAAGGAATGGCCATTCCTAGGCAGGTAACAGTACCCTTAGCTATGGATATATCATTCTTGGCTGAACAGGTACTCCATCTCCAGTCTGGTGGATTTGTTTTTCCAGCCTCCTCTAGTGAAGTTCATGTCCTCATTCCCCAAGGCACTGAGCATCTCATCACCCCACTCAGTAGTGCTTCCATCTGTGTGTGCTCATTTATTTTAACAGTTATTAAGTCTAGCATCATTTCGTGCCATGTGAATTTTTAAAAAAGCAAGATTTCTAAAGTCTTAGGCATATGAGCTACTAGGAGAGACAGATGAAAAACACACACATAATAATAACAACTAGAGCTCTGGTGACCTAGAAGCTACACTGCAATCCCAAAGGCATGTAGTTCAAATCCAACAGTTGCTCTGTGAGAGAGGAATGGGATACTTCATCTGTGCCAGGGATGACCCTGGATGAGATGGATTGACATAGTAACTGGAGTAATGAGGTTAAGTGTGTCGGAGACAGACTGGCTTAGGATAGGGCAGAGTTCATAGCTGTACGTAGGTCACTATGAGTCACAGGTGACTAGATGGCACATATAAATAAGTTCTTTATATAAACCATCAGCAGTGTTGTGAAGATCTGTGTTCTCATCGTGGAGTTGGGGAAACTGAGGCACAGAGGTTAGGTAATTTGTGCATTGCTAGAAAAACAAGAGCCAAGGACCACAATATGGACCCATTGCCAGTGCTCAAAACCAAAAGTTAACAACTACCTATAGCCAATTTTTGCAGTGGTCTGCAAACTAAGGTTTTTACATTTTGAAATGGTTAAAAAAATACGTCATGGCACAAAATTATATAAAATTCTAGTTTTTGTGACCATACTTTCATTGGAACTCAGTAACACGAATTTATGTATTGCCTATGACTTCTTTCCTGTTAAAGTAAGAGACTATATAAGCCGTATACCCAAAAATAGTCCTTATTTGAGCCTTTACAGAAACATGGTTGCAGACCCCTGGTCTAAACCACTACAAAATCCTCTCAAAAACTAAACTGGTTAATATCAGAAATCCATGAAAGAACAGAGTTCTCTTCGAAGAGGGCATTTGAACTTAAAACAGGATGACAGCACTGACAACTTGAACCAGGGGTCCATACTAGCCTGAATAAAGGGAAGTCAAACCTTGCTTCAACTCGGAGAATGTGCAATGGGACCTCAAGTCAAGATTTATGGGTGGGAGGCGGTAATGGGAGGTGGGAGAAAAGGAGGCTGGAAGCAAAAATGCGGTAAGGGCTGAGTGGAGAGCCGGAGAAGCCGGCGTCTGGAGGCTGGAAGCCTGCAGGCGCGATGGTGCAGAGCTGAAAGGAGGCAGTGGCAGGAGAAAGGCAGAGTCGAGACCGCGCGGGCTGGGGAGGCCGGCCGGGAAGGGGTCGGCGGAACTGCTCCTCTCAGGCTGTAGGGGGAGCCGCGCCCGCCGGCTTCCCTCTGCTTCCCCGCCCCTTTCTTCGCTCGGCCCCGCCTCCTCCGGTACCTCCACTCCCTACTACCCAGGAAGGCCGTGCGGGCTGCTTTCACTTTCCCTTCCCAGTTCCCACTCCTCGCTGCACGCACGGCGCAAGGCCCCCTCCCCGGCCATGGCCACGCTCAGGGTCCTGCCTGAAGCCCAAGCCAAGGTGAGCGCTGTAGGTTCAGGGAAGGGCCCTTTCTAGGGGGGCGTGGCTCGGAGAGGTTGGAGGCATCCATCACCAACCCTCAGCCCAGACACGAGTGGGACAAGACACGACTCGATTAAAGCTACTACACCTGCAAAGCACCTGAGCCCACGGGAGGCCAGCCAGGACCTCCTATAGGAAAAGGCGAGGTGGCCATGGTTCAGTGGGGTGAGCTGAAGCGAAGAGCTGGCGTGAATGGGAAGTCCGCTGGCCCAGGGCCAAAGCCACACACAGACTTTGTGACCTTCACTTCAAGGCTCCAGGTCTCACACCATAGGACATTACTGCCCTAGTCAAAGGGGGCTCTCCTACATGGCCTCTTAGGGCTCCCCAAGTGCCCAGTGAACCTGTTCCTACATGAACCACTATTCTCTCCTAGGGATGTGCCCACCTCCATAATCCAGCACCCCACCCCACCCCAGAGATCCATTTCATCCTCCTCTGATCCACTCCTCCACCACCCAACACACCTGCACCCTTCCCCAGGGCCAAGCTCTACACAGCCCTAAAGGAATTGCTCTCAAATGAGCTGATCTTAAAGCTAGGTTTCTAAAGGGTTTCCTGTGCTCTATAGGTGGATGTGTTCCGTGAAGACCTGTGTAACAAGGTAAGACTGCCCCATCAGCACCCTAACTGGTCCCCAGCTTCCACTGCTCAGCCTTCCTTTACTTGGCAACAGTTGGCCTGCTTCACTAGCTAGGAAGGGCCTTTGATTCTGACCTTTATCTTTCCTATTCCTAACTCAACAGACAGAGAACCTGCTCGGGAGCTATTTCCCCAAGAAGATTTCTGAGTTGGATGCATTTTTAAAGGTACTGGGGATGGTGAATAAGGGTTACCAGGAGAATCCAGGGTGGCCATGAGAGTGAAAAAGTGAGAGGAGCACTGGCCTCTAGCCTGCCTCCCACCCTGCACCAGGAGCCAGCTCTCAATGAAGTCAACCTGAACAATCTGAAGGCTCCTTTGGATATCCCAGTGCCAGACCCAGCCAAGGAGAAAGAGAAGGAGGAGCGGAAGAAACAGCAGGAGGCAAGCTTGGGAGAGCTGGGAAGGGGAACCCATCTTGGGAGAAATCAACCTTAAGCCTGACTCCTATGAGCTCTTCTCTCTGCAGAAGGAAGATAAGGATGAAAAAAAGAAAGGGGATGATGAAGACAAAGGTATTTGTAATCACAATGGTGGAAAGACAATTGAATCCCACTTCTTAATGTTCCCTCTGCATTCCCCTATCCCTCACACAGGCCCAGACATGTGACTGACCCATTGCCCACTCCCCAGGTCCTCCCTGTGGCCCAGTGAGCTGCAATGAGAAGATTGTGGACCTCTTGCAACGCCTGAAGCCCGAGATCAAAGATGTCATTGAGCAACTCAATCTGGTGAGTGAGCCCTCCCACTTCTACCCCCAGGCTTCAGGTTGAACCTTTTATCCTCCTTGGTCCTTGCCAGTTAAGACACACCACCTGCCAGGTCTTAGCAAGGCCAAAGCAAGAGAAGCTATAAGTTCAATCCCTAGGACTCAGGATGGACCTGTCACACTTCGACTCACCTTATAGCAATAGGGCTAAGGCTATCATGACTTAGACTCCATTCCCTTGACCCAGGTCACAACCTGGTTGCAGCTGCAGATACCTCGGATTGAAGATGGGAATAATTTTGGAGTGGCTGTCCAGGTGAGTGCTGTCCTGTGCCCCTGCCGTCCCTTCAAGCCCATGTTTCCTTCTACTTTCCCCTCCTGCTTTCTTTCCCCAGGAAAAGGTGTTTGAGCTGATGACTGCTCTTCACACCAAACTGGAAGGCTTCCACACCCAGATCTCAAAGTGAGTTATCACAACTGCACCCCCATGCACACTCTGCCTTTAGCATGGGGTACAGAGACCAGCGCTCATGTCACCTTCTCAGGCTCATGTGTCTCCAACTACCCACAGATATTTCTCTGAACGGGGAGATGCAGTGACCAAAGCAGCCAAGCAGCCCCATGTGGTAGGTGGCCCAAGTTGGGACTCATGAGGGCATGGACACACCTGAACAAAGTCAGGCTGATCCCCTAATCTCCCTCAGGGCGATTATCGGCAGCTGGTGCATGAACTGGATGAGGCAGAGTACAGGGACATCCGACTGATGGTCATGGAGATTCGAAATGCTTATGTGAGGAGGCCGGGGCAGGGCAGGGCAGGGATGGGCAAAGGCAGATCTCCTGGGCCACTCTCCCCAACCCTGCAGACTAGGGGTAAAGGGTGATGAAGTGTGATCTCTTCATGAGGCTGGAAATGGGGCCCAGAGCAACTGCATCTGCAGCTAACATCCACTTTCCCTGATCCTTTAGGCTGTGCTATATGACATCATCCTGAAGAACTTCGAAAAGCTCAAGAAGCCCAGGGGAGAAACAAAGGGAATGATCTATTGAGGGCCTCAACTCTCCTTTTTGTGATGGGTACTGCAGAGATCCTCCTGCCTTTTACTGGGGACTTTCCAGACTTTTCTGCCACTTTTCTGCTATTATGGTCTTTCTCACCTCTCCCAATAAATATAGTCATACCACTGCCCATCAACCCAAGTCTCTTTATTGGATCCTAACCTCACTGCCCCCAGCTCAGGCATTTCCATTAGTGGGACCAATCCACTGGCTGATCTGGCTGTTCAACTGCTGGTTGGTCCAGTCCTGCTGGATGTCGTCAAGATGAGAGTCAAAATCCACAAGGTGTTGGTAGGCCCGGCTCTTCAGCATTGCTCCTACAATCTGCCTCGACTCTTCCCAGTCCTTCCACATCACTCTGAAACAGTAAACCCCATGGAAAACCAGTGGACCAGACACAGAACTTGGCAGAGGGAGGACCCTTAGGACGGAGCTGAGGGAGCCTAGGAGCCTTGGACCTCCCAAGAAGTGAACAGAGTGGGAGACTCACAAATTCTTATCCTTGGGGCTCCAGCGGGGACCATGATTCTCCAGGACAATGACTGGAGGCACTCGAGGTTGCGAAACCAGCTTCTGATTATCCAGCTGGGGAACAAAGACAAGCAGGTGACAGTTTCCAGGATCCCACTCCCTACTTTTTCTTCAGATTCCTCCTCCCTGAAGCCCCAGACTCACCATGATAAGTACTGCATCAGGGTAGAATTCTGCAATTCGTCCAGCAATTTTCAAGGCCAAAGACCCAGGGCTGTGTAGAGGAAAGATCAGAGGAAGGGGCTGACTGGACAGACCCCATGCATCTGAGCTGGGCCTCCCAGGTTTCAGATGTGGGTGCAGCTGGGGCCTTTCCCTATAGCTGGGCTTAGAGGAAAGAAGTCAAGGGGTCAGAAGGTGTAAGCTCTGTTTGATGTACAATTTTTTTTTCCTGTGGGAGAGAAATCTTGTTGACTCTTGGTGAAAGTAGAAATCAGAACCTCATACTATACATGTGCTGACTCAGACATTTAATTTATGTTTATACAGCTACAGCTGTTAGGGTAAGATAGATCTTGATGCAAAAATGGAAATACGTCAGGTAGTTATTCAAGAGAGGGAAGCAGGTTACAAAATAAAACAGTCATCCCTTGATAGCTGCAGGAGATTGGTTCCAGGAACAACATGGATACCAAGTTCCATATCTAAAATGAAGCAGTATTTGCATATATAACCTATGCAAGTCCTCTAATACTTTAAGTTATCTCTAGTTTACTTATAATCCCTAATCCAATAGAAATAGTACTTTACTGCTCCTTTTTAGCCTTTGTGGGATATCTTTGACTATTTAAAGGCTCCCCCCACTGCTCCAGTATCTTTATCTGTGGTGAGTTGGCTCTGCAGATGTATAATATGATCCACTTACATGATTGTTTTTATTGTGTACCAGCGAGTCAGCAGAGCAGCTTTTGATTTGAACCATGTGTTTTCAAGATTGCAGCACAGTTTCTTACCACTTGGACACAAGATCTATTTATATGATTGTTATAAGTAATTTAGGGAGCTCTAGTGGCCTAATGGCAAGAAGCTGCACTGCAGTCCTGAAAGCATGAGGTTCGAGGCCATCAGCTGCTCTCCTGGAGAAGGATGGACAATTTCTTCCCCATACAATTAACTGACTCTGAAAACCCACCAGAGGGTCAGCTATGTGTTGGTTCTGATTTGACAGTTCACAACAATACAAGTAATTTATTTAAGTATATGTTAATTCCTTTTTAGTAAGTATTGGTTTGGTTTCTTCTGTTCTTTTAGCACTTGAGGTAGGGCAGGGAGCAGGTTAGCATTTGGTTAAAGTATCAACCTGTTGTCATCTCCATCCCCTAGCTATGCTAGAGCAACACTATCTTCCCATTCCCAGTGTAACTGAGTGGATTCTGATATAGATATGATTGTCAAGTATGTGCAATAGCATCGTAACTGGCTCAAAGCAATCCTCCAGTGAGTTTTCAGAGCAGCTGGTGGATTTGAGCTGCCTTTGTGTTGGCAGTTCAATTCCTTACCACTAAACAAACAGAGATCTAGGCTAGACCTGCCTCCCAGGGCTTTGAAGCTACAGATTCATATGGAAGCACACTGCCTCATCTTTCTCCCAGGAGAAGCCAACCTTTCTGTTAGCACTCAAATGCTTAATCCATTGTGCTACTAGGGTTCCTTGATGCTATCTTTTTCTTCTTTATATTTCTTTACTAATATGTTTCTTTCCTTTAGTAACCAGCATACTGCCAGATGTACAAAATTTGCTCCTGATGAAGGAAAGATGAAAGGATTTTTTTTTTCTGACCCCCTATCCCCAAACCCCTTGCCTTCTGCTTTTGGCGACCCCACTCACCTTTGATCGTCCAGAGCTGCATTGGCATGGTAATACCCTGCCACCACCAGACCGCCCTGCGCGCTCCACACATCCACCTGCCACAGGAAAGGGGCCATCTGTAACTAAATCGTGTTCTGGCCCTATGGGTGCGCACTATCTTCAGGAGGGGCAGGGATGGGATTGGCTAGGGGTTTAGAAGCATTTATGTCGTTAGCGGATGTCCAGCGGTGGCACCTGGTTGAGGGCGACCTCCAGCATGACGGACAGGGCCAGGTGACTGTGGAATAGAGGCACACAGTCGGTAAGGCATAGGCATTCTCCGGACCCAGGCGTTGGCGCCAGCAGCAGCCCATTGATAGCGGCGTGCGGGTACCGAGCGGCGTGCAGGCACATCTTCACGTAGGCCCGGGCTGAGATCTCCACCTCTCCCATGGCGCACAGGGCCTGACCGATGTGAAGCAAGCCAATTAATACCAATTTCCCACACTACTCCCTCCAAACCCCCAGCTTGTGTCTGTGCAGCTCCCTCCAGAACCCTGGTGTTCTCCTCTGAATATCGCCAAGCCCACCAACGCTCTCCCTCACTTAAGTTCAGCTGTGACGCTGACTTGGATCAAAGACTGGTCTCGGTCTCCAGGCGGGCTCCGTCGCGGTGCCCGCTCCAGGACCAGCCTAGGAGGAGGCCCCGACTGCACCCCGGGGCTCCGCCTTCTCCAGCCCCCACCCGTCGAGCGCGGATCCAGAAGTCTCACTGGAACCTAACGGGGCCGCTCCAAATCAGACCCGCTTCTGAAGTCCCGCCCACTGCTGCTCCTTGATAGGCCTAGAGGTTTTCATTTTACCAATCAGCAGCCTTTGTCTTCATCCAACTGCAAAGAGTTCCCAACTCTAAGCATTGTCCACGCGCTTATTGGTTGAGCTTCCTCAACAAATCTGTCTTGGAAGAAACATAGCTAGAAAGGTCCTTAGAAATGAGAACGGTGTAGCACATGCTTGGGATCCCTTATCAAGAGGAACTATAGTCCTCGAAGAAAGACATTGTGCTTGGCTGAGAGTCAGCAAGAGAGGAAACCACTTAAGAAGATGAATTGAGGAAACAACTATGAGATATCATCTCACCCCAGTCAGAATAGCAAAATATAACAGAACAGCAAATGTTGACAAGGTTGCCGAGAAACTGGAACACTTATTCACTGTTGGTGGGAGTGTAACATGGTGCAATTTCTATGGAGGGCTGTATGGCGCTCTCTCAAAAAGTTGCAAATAGAAATACCATTTGACCCAGCAATTCCACTACTGGGAATATACCCCAAAGAGACCATAACTGACATCCAAGCAGATACATGCACACCCATGTTTATCTCGGCTTTATTCTCAATAGCAAGGAGTTGGAAACAACCTAAACGCCCATCAACAAACAAATGGGTAGAAAAGCTGTGGTATATTCACACAAGGAATACTATGCTGCATTGAAAAACAAGAAACTGAAGCAATATTATTAAAAATGGGTGACCCTGGAGGACATTATGCTAAGTGAAGTATCTCAGTCACACAAATACTGCATTGTGCCACTGTTGTAAAACAGGACTGACCTCAGGGTTGGGGGGAAACTGAGAAAGATGGGTTCAATAATGTATACTGCATTGAAACAGATGAGGAAGAAAACTGTTTAAAAGGGATATGTGATTAGGTATTTTTGTCATGACAGGAGTTCAGAATGAAGGCTGCATAGTGGAGTGGACCTGGGGGGAGGAATTGTAAAACAATAAAATAATTTTTCTTTTACTTTTCCAAGAGGGTAGTGTACTAGGGGGGAAGGTTGGGAGGGGAGAAAAGTGCAACAGCGAATGAATGGAAATCCAAAGTCTCTGTAAATTTTCATTGAAATTAATAATACATTTAAAAAAAAGATTAGGTCGCTTAATAGGGTCGCTATGAGTCGCCTGCGACTCGACGGCACTTAACAACAACAACATCAACATAGAGAGAGATCAGTTGGCCCAGTGGACAGAAAGCGACGTTACTAAGGCAAAGGTGGCTGACTTTTAATCCGTGGCCCTCAGGCCAGTCTTTCATTATTTTTGTTCAAACATTCCTCTAGGTCGTATAGCCCTGCTGTGTCCACTTGCTGTACAGTGGTAACTTGTGGTTGCTGTGAGGCTGAACACTGTGACACTGATGTGTCAAGTGTGTTAATGGTTGATTACCCAGTGCGGACAGAGAGCAGGGTGGAGCTCCCTGATTAAAACAAGCTTGAAAGCAGGAGTGGCATCCACTTTCATAATAGCTTGCCTCCAGAAACCCTATGAACCTGGAGAGAGGATGAAAGACACACAAGCGTTGAGGACTCTTCTTCATAGGGTCACTATGAGTTGCCTGTGACAGCACTTAACAACAAACAAACAACAACAGTATTTCTTTTGTAGGATATGGGTTTGCCTTTGAATTAAAACTGATCCAAGGGCATCTAACAAACAGCCTGACTTCCTCTCATGATTACAGAATGATTTTGCCTGTTATCTGTGCTACTCACCCCCACAAGCCTGTAAAGACAGTGGGGCTGCTGTCGCTCTAGTTGTCCCGAAGCAGTTCTTCAAACCTGAAGGCATAGAGACCTGCTACCTTGTTCCTGCCATAGAACAAATAGATCTGTACTCCATGCCTGTCACTTACTCATGAGCCTACAGGTTATTCTCCCAACTACAGGTAGTTGACCCTTGGATGCCTTTTTTTTTTTTTAAGTTGTGATTTGAGTGAAAATTTAGAGAGCAAAGTGGCTTTTCATAGAAGCTTCTTATGCATTATGTCTCATGACGTTGATTTACAACTTCTGTCGTTATACAGATGATACAAACCTGCTTGCTAAAACTGAGGAGGACCTGAAGCACTTGCTGCAGAAGCTCATGGACTGAAGCCTTCAATATAGATTGAAGCTCAATATCAAGAAAACAAAGATTATCACCATGGGACCCATTGGTGAAGACACTGAAATTGTTAACAGCTTTCATTTGCTTGGCTCCACAATCAACACTCTTGGCACCAGCACCCAGAAAATGAAAAGATTCATTGCATTGAGAAAGCCTGCTGTCAGAGGCCTTTCCAAAGTACTGAAAAGCAACAATGGGAGCTCTGGTGACCTAGTGGCAATAAGCTGCACTGTAATCCCAGAGGTGTGCGGTTCAATCTCCTCCTGTACTAGTTAGATTTGACTTGATAGTACACACAAAAATTTTTTTTAAAAAATTTAAAAGAGCAACAATATCAGTCTGAAGATTAAGGTGTGCCTGATAGAGGCCATAGTCTTTGCAATCATTTGCTATGCATCAGAGAGCTGGACAATAACTAGGGATGATAAGAGAATTGATGCCATTGAGCTGTGGTGCTGGGAGAAGAGTATTGAGTATACCACAGACTGCTAAGAAAACAAACAGGTTTGTTCTGTTGTTGTTATGTGCTGTCGAGTCACCTGTGACTCATAGCGACCCTATGTACAACAGCCCTAAACTATGCTCTGTCCTGTGCCAGTCGCACTGTTTTCGATACACCCATACCAATTACCCCAGTCACTGAATCAATCCACCTCATAGAGGGTCTTCCCCTCCTGTGCCGTGCCTCCACCCTTCCAAGCATTATGTCCCTCTCCAAGGACCAGTCCCTCCTTACAACATGTCCAAAATATGTCAGATGAAGCCTCAGAATCCTTGCCTCCAAGAAGCCGCCCGATTTAACCCTCTCCAGGATGAATCTGCTTGTTTTCTTAGCAGTCCATGGTACACTCAATACGCTTCTCCAGCACCACAGCTCAAAGGCATCAATTCTCCTCCTATCCTCCTTAGTCATTGTCCAACTCTCTGATGCATAAGAAGTGATTGCAAAGACCATGGCCTGTATCAAACACATTTTAGTCTCCAGAGAAACACCATTGCTCTTCAGTACTTTGGAGAGTTCCCTAACAGCAGACTTTCCCATGGCAATACATCTTTTAATTTCCTGACTGCTGGTGCCAAGAGCGTTGACTGTGGAGCCAAGCAAACTAAAGTTGTGAACAATTTCAATCTCTTCACCATCCATCCTGATGATGCCAATTGGTCCAGTGGTGAGAATCTTTATCTTCTTGATATTGAGCCTCAATCCATATTGAAGGCTGCAGTTCTAGGGAAGGTGAAATCAGGCTACCCCTTGGAAGTAAGTATTCTGAAGCTTCACCTGACATACTTTGGACATGTTGCAAGGAAGAACTAGTCCTTGGAGAGGGACATCATGCTTGGGAAGATGGAGGGACAGCGCAAGAGAGGAAGACCCTTGATGAGATGGATTGAATCAGTGACTGGGGTAATGGGGTTAGGTGTGTCAGAGACAGTAAGATTGGCACAGAGCAGAGCAGGATTTAGGGCTGTTGTGCACAGGGTTGCTATGAGTCTCGGGTGACTCACAGCACCTAACAATAACAACAACAACAATGTTGTAAAACATTGGAGAGAGCTCTGGTGACCTAATGGCAGGTAGCTGCACTGCAATCCTTGAAAGCATGCAGTTCAAGTCCACCAGATGCTCTGCAACAGAAAGATGGGCAATCCTGGCCTCTGAGATTAACTGCCTCTGAAAACTCACAGGAGGGTCAGCTATGGGTTGGTTGTGACCTGGTGGTAAACTACAACAGATGTAAAACCAATTTCCCACTTCCTCCCGGTGTTTCTCATTTCTTTGTGTACTTTCTTATCCCTACCTGCATTGTGGGCTTTATTCCTGGGCAAATATTGCCCCTTTGATCTCCCACGGTTTATTGTTTTAATGTGTTTGTTCCTCCCAGTTGTTATTGCTCACCTTATAGATCTCTTTAATGTCTGAAAGTTAAGGGAGTTCCTGCTACAGTTCCAGGCTTTCAGAGTGGCTGTTGTACATAGGGCTGCTATGAGTCACAGGCAACTCGATAGCACATAACAACAACGAAGGCTATAGTTTAGGGGGTCACACCAGTCTCTGTCAGATCAGTCAGACTGATCTTTTAGAATTATTATTTTTAGCTTTGTTCCACATTCTCCTCCCATTCTCTCACGGATTTTCTACTGTGATCCCTGTTAGCAGTCAGCTGTGGCAGCCAAATACCACCTAGTTTTGGTTTCAGAGTCATGAAGATTTAAATTTGTAAGACACGACTGTCTTCAGAAACTTATTGTTAGTAACATTGAGTTGGAACTGACTCATAGCTGATCCTCGAATAGGTTTTCAGAGGCAGTTAAGCTCACTGGAGGGGACTATACCCTTCCTTCTCCCATGGAGCAGCTGTCTGACTCCAACCACATGACTTCCGGATGGCAGCACAGCTTCTTGCCCCTAGACCACCAGAGCACTAGTCTTTTATTCCTTCACTCTAGATAGGGAGAAACCAATAGTTGTACCTACGCGACGGCTTGTTGTTGTTATGTGCCAATCAGTTG